AGAATAGAATAGAATAGAATAGAATAGAATAGGCTTTTGTTGTCATTGCACATGTACAACTAAAGTGTGGGTGCTCCACACCAACTGTACATGGAATAAAAATATAAATAGTAGGACAACAAAAATAAATAATAGACAAGAGGAGTACATACAAAACAGGAGGAAGGCACACAATAGAAATGCACAAATGAACTTTGCCCTCTGCGTAATTAGCTGCAAATTTGTTTTTTGCTGCCATTCAAATACTATGTCAGCATTTTCTTCTTAAAACAGCAGAAAAAAAACTGTGCACATTGTAATTGTTCATTTGAATCCATCTACTAAAGTTTCAGTAGTCATCTCACCTTCAAGGCTCAGCCAAATGTATTGCCCTTTGACCCGGGTGACTGTGGCCACGTGAATGTTCTCAGGTGACAGTGGGTTGACAGCCTCTAGTTTCATGGCCTCTTTGAAGCTGTGCTCACACTGCTCCTGGGAGGTAAACAGAGAGAGCTGTTTCACGGTGAGGGAGGATGGCTGATGGTTAGTTTTTGTGAAATTTGTCCATTAGGAAAACAACATGCTGAGTCTCCCGTAAAAAGCAAGAGAAGTCACAGTGGGTCACCTGCTCTACAAGCCCATTACACAGTCGGGATACATTTCATCACTGGTATCCGATTATGCCGTCAGTCACATGGCTAAACTGAAAAGTGTAATTTCTTATATTTGGTCATTTATGACAGGCAAAAGGGGAAAAAACAGAATAAGCAATGACACAATCAATGAAAACCAATATTTGCACTATTTGTTATCTTTGTTATCTTCGCTTCCTGCAGTCTCTCTCAAAACTATATCAGAAAAATGTTTTATTGAACTATTTTCTCCCCATTCCTCAAATTTTTAACTTAGCCTAGTTTTTAGATGCACCATCATGTGTATAAACAACATTATTTTATTTAAACTCAATTCATATAAAAAACTAACAAACAAACAAATAACCCTCAATTCAGAAGCATGAATAAATAGTGAGACCCAAGTTTTTCTTTTTTCTTTTAATCATTATTTTTCTGGTCAGTAATCTGCAAGACAGATGGTTAAAAAAGAAAAGAAAAGAAAAAAGGTTTACTCACAGTTGGGAAGCAATGTTGAGGAGCGGCTTCAGCTTCACACTGTTTCAGGTAGTCTGCCCAGTCAAAGTCTGGACCCTGGTATCCTGTGCATGATACAATAAACACCAGCAAGGCAATTTAGAGAGAAAGCAAGACAGCACAAGCAATCTCACCACTGTTATCATGAACTGTCTGATTTCAAGTTGTCAAAAAGTGATAAGTGACAGAACAAACCTGGTGGGGGGCTGAGTGGGAGCCCGTTTTTGAGGCTCCACTGAGCAGGGAAGATCCCCGGACTGTCTCTGTGACACAGGAAGGATCGCCCAGCACTCTCTGACTCCTCAATATCACAAAGGTTTTCCATTGTCACCAGGAAGTACTGCTCATCATACACCTGGAATATACAACACCGGACCCAGAGACTGTCAGATGTTTTATCTTGTAGTCACACTGAGCTGGTTGAGTTTTTAGCAATTTAGCATTTCTAATATGATCTATTGTTTCAGGCATATGTAAGCATGTTGGATAAACATTTTTTAACTGAATAAAGACAGCACAGCATGGACACTCTGTGTGCTTTGTGAGGTTCCCCCAAAGTCCTCTGGTTTACATGTCCTTCCCTCTGCTTATATTATTTTATGCCAGTGGGCTTATTTTAAAAAACCCAAAAAACCAAGCAGAAACACTCCGATTTTTAGCTCGTCGCCTTGAAACAGTCAACAGCATGATTGCTTGGGGGGGATGAACCGGATCCTGTTGTATTTCAACTTTTCATTAACTACACTACTGTTAACTAAATAAAGGGGTAAATCAACTGGATTCCAAGTGTCAGAAGACTCTCACACACACACAAAAAAAAAACCCCTAGAAATGTTGCTGCTGTTTGTCTGACCAGACTTCGTCAGACATCAGTTTCCTACAAAGGGGAGCTGTGTGGCTTGTTAAATTGCAGCTCTGCACTGGGGCTGCTGTCTGCAACATCCTGCATTTATAAAGTGCAAAGAAATTATGCACAGTTCGTTGGCTTGTGAGCGATGTTACAGCTGCTATGATGGGCTGATAGAGCAGAGCAGCCACACGTCTGTGTAAAAAGATCAACCTTTTCACAAGTTAGAACCTGCTGCCCAAGATGCTGCAGAACACGTTGCAGTGATGAGCCACTTTCACATATAATTTAAACACTGGAACTCGATCTGATAAAATTTAAGTTACTTTCTTCCCTGTACGCAGGTTTGCAGAGGTGAGTAAACGAGGGGCCATTAGCTGTGCTTTGCAGAAAAGCAGGGAAAGCCCATCATCAAAGCAGACCATTTTCTTAGGAATCTACTGTAGAGAAATATTTAGCATTTTTTAAATGACAGCATTTTGTGCTGTTAAAATTTGAGATTATTTCACATACAAATACTAAAGTAAAATGGCATCGCTGCCCAACTCAAGCTAACTACAAGAAAGCTTTCATTCTGGCATATGAAACTGTGTTGTTACATTTGGCTGCATCCCCGGTGTCTGAAGAGGAAAGACTGAGAATAGTGCAATAATAATAATAATAATGATAATAATAATAATAGTGTATTGAATTGTTTTCACACTCTGCACATATAACAATAAAAAGATAAAAGCAGTGCTGAGCTGATGAAAAAATGATTGATTATTGATTGTGTTACATATATTGTTGTAACATATAAAGAAAATAATGATTAAGAATAGTACATAGTTTAAAGCTTTTTCTATTTCCTGCTCTGAAATAGAAAGTGGATGGCAAGCCAATAACTCGCTGTAAGTTGAGTTTCACTGCAGTATGATAGCAAATAAATTCTCAGTAAACAGGAGCAAAACTGAGCACAGAAGACACAGATTTAATGGGAAATTCCGTTACCCTGGTGACAGTTGCAGGCCTGATGGAAATGGGAGCAGCAGGGTCAACAGCTTCTAGTTTCATCCCTTCTTTGAAACAATGAGCAGAGATGGCAGGTTGATCCTGAGACAAACAAACACTTGTATGAAGAGCCATTTCCAAAAGCCTTGGTATTAAAAATCTTTCAGCACCCGATTTGGAGAATGTCACTTTCAGTTAAGCATAAATATCAAATGTTAACTCGTGAATAAACAGAGGAATGTTCTGGTCGGGAAGAACAAATAAAGAGCGCAGTTGACCGTACTTTAGTTAACTCTGCAGTCAGAGCTTCATCCTGAGGCAGGTCACTGATCCTCTGTCTCACGTCCTCCCACTCTTCCTCCGTCCGCAGACCTAACAGATCTGAAACAAAGACCAAATAACTGTTAAAGATAACTGTGGTAATGTTTGATTACCAAGGGCATGCTTTTGAATTTGACTAAATAAACACAAAGTATAAAGCAGTACTTGGTAAAACACAGCCTGTATGTCAGCTTGGTCTGTAGCTGGACCTTTAAAAAGTTGCTCCCAGTTAATTAAACAAGGGAAGAAAAAAAAAATAAAAATCAATGTCGCTCTCCACAATGTTGCAACCACAAAACAGAAACTTCTTATCACAGGATATTGGACTCCAGACAGAAATTAAATGGCTGAAATCAAATTATTGCTTTTGAAAAAAAATACAATAAAAACATCTTACGAAGAAGAAAAAGTAATCTAAAAAGATCTAATTAACTCCTTTTACTAACATTATCCTGTATTTGAGCTATAAAAAGGGTGGTATTAAAATAAATGAAGACTTTTGGTGGTACAAGAAGACAGATCAGTAAGGATAGAGCTACAGCCTCCAGTGCCAACAAACTGTATCCACTTCAAAAGTATTAACAGTGATCTATCAAATCCTGCATGGAAAATTAATTTCAAGGTCTAGCAGGAAGTACTGAGAAGTTTTGTTGCTGGGCCAGTGTATAGAAAAATAATAGAATTACACTTGATAATTAAAATGCATTCATATGGATCGTCCACCTGTCCTTTCTTCTAAACTGTCACTAATGCATGCAATGGCACTTTGCTCAGAAACCTAGAGATGAAAAAGAAAGGAACTTCCTTTACTTCTGGAAATAAAACCTGACCCATGTCGATGCCACTGACCTGAAGGAGGCCTGAGGGTGCAGCCGTGCTCTTTGGCCCAGCCAGGTGGGTGTAGGCGTGGGTGGAGATAAAAGAGCCAGAGAGTTGCGGGTGTGTCTGGGAGACCCTCTGTGCCTATAAGCCGCAGTTTCAACCTTCCTCCGACATTTTCCTCCACCTCAGCAGCCCAGGCCAGCCCCGGGTCAACGCTATCCTGGAGCTCCACGTAGCAGCCCGCACACAGGAGCTCCACTGGGTCTCTGCCACGCTGGGGCTGGAAGGGGGCCAGGAGTGGTAAATGGAAAGCCCATAGCACACTAACACAAACATACATGAACACACGCCTAGACAAGGAGAGGAATTTGCAGTGGAGAGAATGCACTGCATGGCTAAGTGGCAGAACTGAAGCACGGTGACTGAAAGCTAACTAATGGATGTGAAGAATTTCACAGGCTGCTCCTACAGTGTATTTGCTTCCAGCAGCACATCGTTCATGGTGTAAACAAAAGCTCAGAGCCTTGTGTTTTGTATACTTCAGACTTCAGCAGATAAAATCTTATTTAGTTCAAGCTGAGATGTATTCTAATGTTGATTTTTTTATTATGGCTCTTACAGATATAAATCTAAACTTAAAATACAGATAGGAAAATACAAATAACTAAGTAGCAACAGTGATGAATGCAATATCATTAAAATTTAAAGCAATTCATCTCTAACAACTGCCTTATTTCTGTGCCCGTTTCCTATCATAAACACTCAAAATATTCAGAGATACTATATTGTGAATACAGGCCCCAAAAGTAGAAAATCAATGCAGCAATCTGATACTGAGAGTTCACAAAGACGCAAAAGGATAGAGGAAGATCAGGGGGAAAATTAGTGGAACACATTTCCACAGTAATCAGAAGTTACAGAATAAGCCAAGAACCACTTGTACAAAAAGAACTTTAAAAGAAGACTTGGCACAGAGTTTTTGAGTAAAAATGAGATGCTCTGCAACAGCTCAGACAGTGTGAAGGACGCTGTGCTAATGTCAGCTTTTATGGATACCAGCCAAGAAAAAAAAAAATTTCCCTGCTTGCTCTTTGGCACAAAATTAAAAGATTAAACTGTGCTAAAGTGCATAAAAAAGCCTTATTAATAATAGAAGCGCATTCTTTGATCAGATGAGACACAAGATAAATTTGTTCAGATGGTTTCCAGCATGGCTGGCATGATCCTGGCCAAGAGTACCCCAGTGAAACCAAAGTTTGAAGCAAGGGAGGTGAGAGTGTGATATGGGGCTGCATGAGGCAAAGTCTGTTTGGGATGACATTTATAGATGAATGCCTGTGGATACACTGAAACACTAGTTGATAGGTTTTACATAATATTTGCAGGAGAGACGTTTTCTAGCTTGACAACAATCAAAGGCAAACTGGCCAAAATGTAACAAATAAAATAATCACAGAAAGAGTTGACAGAAGAGGAAAATGTGGATGTCACAAAGGTAGCAGTGAAACTCTGCGAGCAAAGCCCAGCTAAAAAAAAAAAAGTCTCTGAAGGATGGCATTTCTCCACAAAAACTGGAATTGTCCATGTTGAGGGAGTCTGGCATCAGAAATGAAGACAGAAAAGCTAAGAAGTGGGAAAAAAAGAGAAAAAGGAAGAAACACTGACTTCTGCTGCTTTAAATTCCTTCTGCTGGGCCTGAATTTTAATATAGCAAATCTAATTTGTTACTTCGTAATATGGAATAAGCTCTAATATTACCCCATTACTTTCAAAGGTAAGTCAAATATTGAGAGAGGATCTCCTCTCGGCTGCTCCCTTTAGGGGTTGTCATAGCTGATCACCTGCCTCCATCTCTCCACATCCCTGGCAGCTCTATCTTCAAGATCCCTTCCCTAATATATCCACAATTCCTCAACTGCCTGTCTAATGTGAGAGGATGCAACTTGTAATTATCTGACATTTAAGTGATAAGACACATGGGAGTGCACAGTGTGTGCCGTAAATTTGCCCTGATAGAAGAGACTGTTGTTGGCACGAGTGGGTACCGAAATGCCAAAAGCTAACGCCCCACCCTGGGTGTGAGTAGCCTTTTGGAAGGACAGCTGCTTCCTTCCCCTGCCTTACCAATTCCAGCAGGCTGGCAGGCGCGCTGCACTCCTCAGCCAAGGCCTTTTCCAGCAAAGCCTCCCAGTCCTGATGCTTCTCACGCACACCTGAGGTGGATGATTCACACACACCATTTAGTTTATTAACCAAAAAAGCTGGTGGTCTTTAGCATTACACGCATCCCAATTCTAATTTTTCCTCACACAGCTGCTTTGAAGCATCACATCAATTATAAAACAAAAAAAAAAATACTAGAGGGATCATATACTGAAGGTGAGATGTTATCTTATCAAACTTTCATCTGTGTCATCTACCACATCCCATAATGGCAAATCAAGTATTTTGTTTTGTTATGTTTTCTGTTTATACACACAAGTATCAAGGTTTTTTTAAAAAAAACAAAAAACAAAAAAACAAACCATCTCCATTAATGTAAAAAAATGCACAAGAAAAAAGTTCATTTCCTTCAGTGTTTCGCCTACCCATTTTGTGGGAAATCTATTTTTCATGAAGCGAGAACGTCAGAAGGGAAACCCCAGTGTTTCACCTGTGGGCAACTGTGCCAGCAGCACATCAGGGGAACAGAAATATTCATTACTTAAATCTAACTGATGAACAAAAGTCCAATTACCTAGTTGAGTTCCAACATTAAATTACATTTTGGCATGAAAGAAACCCCCCCCC